TGTGTATTTATTTTAAGTTACTGATGAATCAAACAAAAGACAGTTATTTGACACTGATGCCTGGAACACTTTACTCTGAGCAACACAGATTTGATGATACAACATTATAGTGATTTTATAAGGGTCTGAGCACGTAAGTTGGTTATTAATTTTTTAAGGTTGTTTGTACAGATTATACATGTGTGTGGAGTAGATATTTTGTCAAGCTAATTTTCTTATTGTTTATATCATGAATTTGCTTATATAGTTTAAAGACAATAAAATAGTAACCAAAGGTAGAAGTATAGTGACCCACCAACCCCAGCCCCAGAAGAACTAAAGCTAGTGTATACATGGTTTACTGCTGGGATTAATACATGGTTGGGACATAGGAATGGTACTGAATTTTTTGTCCTTGTCGTTTTCTAAGTCACAACGGTGAAGCTCAGGTATCACTCCTGGCAGGACTTGGTCGACCATATGGAGTGCTGGTAATCAAGCCCAGGTCGGTGGTGTACAAGGCAAGTGCCCCACTGTCTTCTCTCAGGTTCCCGATTGTCTATCTTTTAACTTCAAAATGTTAACTGCTTATCATTTGTAATCCTTTTTTACCCCTTTGTTGATGTATATACTACTGTCTAAAGACTGTTAGAAGCACTGATGTAGTGCTAAGATGTGTATACTGCCGAGACAAGGGAACCTTCTTTTCTGATTGTTGATGGTTTCACCACATCTGGAGATATTTCAAGGTTGGTTTTCATTGAGGAGTGTCTAATCTCTTGTTTCTTTATATTTTTCACATAAACAAGGTCATCTTTTTTCCTTCTGACTTCCTTCAGTGAGCAAATCATCCTCAAGTTTGTTCATGTTGCACATACTGCCTGATTTTATCTTTTTCATAACCTAGTAGTATTCCACTGTGTTTCTTTATCTGCTCATTTGTTACTAGACACTTTGGTTGATGCCAGTCTTGGCCATTGTAGGTAATACTGTGATGAAAATAGGTGTGGATATGACCTTGTAGATTAATGTTTTTCTATTATTGGGGTAGATGCCTGGGAGTAGAATTGAGGGTTCTCACGAAAGCTTCTTTAATGTTTTGAGAAGTCTCCAAACTATTTTCCAAAAAGGCTGGACAAGGCAACAGTCTCATCTCACAAACACTGAATAAAGGCTTTGCTTTTACTGCATCCTCACCAGCACTTATTCTTTGTGGCATTTTTGATGTAGGCCATTCTGGCTGGTGTGAGATGATGCCTCATTGTTTCGATCTGTACTTGCCTGACCATTCGTGATGGTAAAACACTTTTTCATGTGCCTGTTCACCGTTGTTCTTTCTCTGAGGATGTGTCTGTTCTTCTCTCCCTGATTTGTTTTTTTATTTTTTGATGGGGTTATTGGTGTTTTTGTTGTTGGCTTTCTGTATCTTAGATATTAGCCCTTTTTGTCTCACAACAGATGATAAACTTCAGTTCTGAACAGTTGATGGGAATGGGGCTGGAGATAGCACAGAGGGGAGGGTGTTTGCCTTGTATGAAGCCGATGTGGGTGCGATCCCCAGCATCCCATATAATCCCTTAAGCCTATCATGAGTAATTCCTGAGTGAGAGCCAGGAGTAACCTCTAAGCCTTGGTAGGTGTGGTCCCCAAACAAAACAAACAAAATAATCGATGGGAATAACTAGAGAGTGGAGGCCTAAGAGGCATCAGGCTTGGGAATGGGCTATGGAATCTGGTGGAGGGGACCATCGGTTTTAGGAACATGGAAGGAAGTGTGTAATTCTGTTTGGTGTCAAAAGGGAAGGCCACGTTCTAGCCATTGTCATGCCAGTGTTCCCTTCTAGCAGACGTTTGTGGAGAGCATGCTCAGGTGGGTTGGGAATTCACAACGATTCATGTATTCTTTGTCACCGAAAGTTACACTGACTTTATATAACTGTTTCCAGTAGGCTGTAGGTATTGGGGATATGGAGGTAATTAAATAGGATGGGGCAAGCTCCAGGAAACATGATCTGACACACCCATTTTTCAGGTAAACACATGAAAGTATCTCGTGCACTAAACTCTCCCAGTTCTAGAGACTCAGAGATGCACAAATGGTGCATTTTTCTCCAGGGACCCCCACCAAAGGGAACCTAGTGGAGCAGCCATTTTTAATTTCATGTGAACAGTAGGGGCAGGAGGCATCACAGAGGAAGTCCCCTTATTGGTCTCAGTATGTCACAGTGCTGGACTGTCACCTAGGACAGGCTTTGAAAGTCCTTGGTTCTAAAATGTTGAGCATTGTTTGTCCTTCCTTCCTTCCTTCCTTCCTTCCTTCCTTCCTTCCTTCCTTCCTTCCTTCCTTCCTTCCCTCCCTCCCTCCCTCCTTTCTTTCTTTCTCTCTCTCTCTCTCTCTTTCTCTCTTCCTTTTTCAATTTTTTGAGCCACACTCTGTGATGCTCAGGGGGTTATTTCTGGTTCTGCACTCAGGAATCACTCCTGATGGTACTCTGGGAACCATATGGGATGCCAGGGATCAAACCTGGGTCTGTGGCGTGGAAGGCAAATGCCCTACCTGCTGTGCTATCACTCCTGCCCTGATCATTGTCTTTCTTGTCAAAATTCCTTTTAACAAAATGGTTCAGAGGCTGGAACAATAGTACAGGGGTTAAGGCACTGCCTTGCTTATAGTGCTGGTCCTGGTTTGATCCTCTCAGCATTCAATAATATGGTCCCTCGAGCCCCACCAGGAATGATCTCTGAGCACAGAGCCAGTAGTCAGCCCCAATCAGGTGTGGCCAGCCTGCCCTGCTCAAAAGTGAAATCAATTCAAATTTATTAAAAGTAATATGGCACCCCTGGAATGATAGCATAGCAGGTAGAGCGTTTGCCTTACACACAGCCAACCTTGGTTCAATTCCCAACATTCCATATGGTCCCCCAAGTACCGCCAGGAGTAATTCCTGAGTGCAGAGCAAGGATTAACCCCTGTGCGTCGCAGGTGTGACCCAAAAAGAAAAAAAAGTAATATGGCAAAAATATTGTCTAAAATCTAATCTTTTTTATTTTTTGTTGCTTTTTGGGTCACACCCAGTGCTTCACAGGGGCTACTCCTGGCTCTGCACTCAGGAATTACTCCTGGTGGTGCTTGGGGGGACCATATGGGATGCTGGGAATCAAACCCAGGTCGACCTCGTGCAAGGCAAATGCCCTACCCGCTGTACTATCGCTCCAGCCACTAAAATCTAATCTTAATGGGCATCCTTTTGAACTGTTTGCTGATGAATTTGCTGGCCTGGTTTACTCTTTTAGTTCTTTGACTTTCATATCCTTGTGTGCTATTCATTTGAAATGTGACGCATATTCTAAAATTTGCATGAATATTGCACCAGATTTGTGATATTGATATGACAGTGTGCATTCTCCTTAATTACATTTGGGTCTGCCCGATGTTTTCATTCCTGTGTTTCTTTTAAAGAGACACAGTTTCACCAAGTAGTATTTTGTATTTTATAACTTTTGAATGCATAAAACTTGATGCGAGAAGTTAGCAGAGTCGAAGCAAGAATACAAGGTTGAGGTGCTTGCCTCAAAATCCGCCAGTCCCAGTTCCTGATACCTCCTGGTCCCCTGAGCATTGCTGGCACAGCTCAAGTGGCACCACATCTTTAGGCCTGGTTAACTGAAATTGCCAGGAAAGGTCTCTCAGGCTCCTGAGCACTGCTTGGGAGAACCCCCCCATAAAATAAATAAAAATTTACTTAATTTATATTTAATTAGGGCTGAAGTTAATTACCACTATTTATTGGGGGAAATTATTTTTAGAACCTTTTCAGAAACTGCATAACTGTTTCATAAGTTAATAAAAATTAGTGTTTGAGTCCACAAGTGTTGATGCTCAAACAATAAACATAATTTTCCAAGGAGAAATATTAAAATTCTTAGTTAGAAAATGTTTGAGTATTACATCACTCTCTGTTTTTGAGATGCACCCAAAAAATGCATTCTGTTTTATTGAAACAGAAGGACAATTCAGTACACTTAAAGAGTTTAGATACAAATCCGGCCTTTGTGGAAGGATGAAAACTACAAGCTGGGAAAAATCATCCATACTTCCAAGGAACAAAGGTCGATCTGTCACTGAAACATCTATGGATCATACAGGGCCCTTAATTAGAAGCCAACTGTTGATCATAGTTAAGTGTATATGCATATATATCATGTGGACAGGCATTTATGTTGTTCGTAAATTACCTGGAGTTCTTACTAATATGGGTTATAGCTAATGTTCATGATCTGTTAATTACTATACAGGCTTCTTATTACTAAATTAGGTTTTTGGTCATTTGGCTCTACAGCAGGTAGAAGTAAGTGTTCACATCTTGAAATGAGAAAAGCAGAACAGAAAAATTGGAAAGTCAGTGAAACAGCAACAGCAGCAAAAACCTGTTTAACTCTCCTTCTTGAACCCTGTTCAAGCACAGATTCCTCTTTGAGGTCTTATGCCTGCTCTCCTGCTGTCCAGGCTTGTCTTGGACACTTGGCACATAGTAGCATGTGCCAAAAACCACGTTTTATCTTCCTGGCAGACCAATGCGGGAGGGAGAGTAGATCTTATTTTTCTCTCTGTTCTTACCATCAAGCACAGCATTGCTCTGGATCACATGAGCCACATGTCCAATTTTAGCTTTCCTGATAACAAAACTAAGAGAGAAAAGGCTCAAACATATTTCCATTAGTGTATTTGACCCAAGATGTTGTAAATATTTCAATATAGAGATACAGTTTTATTAGTGAGATATTTCACTTTCTTTAATATTATTAAAATCTTAAAATCCTCAAAATCCTATAGTTTGTACCTCTCGCACCTTAAAACTGCACTTGAAATTGTACATACTGGAGATGAGTGAATAGGCACTTGAGCTGTGTGAGTAGCCACATCTCACCATCTCAAACAACAGGTCTGTGCTTTATTGGTGATGGGTCAGGAATATCCCAGAGGCATGTTTTCAAGAAATGATTTCTTTTATTTCCATTAGACTAACCATGGCTGCAGGAGTCTTACCTCAGAATGAACAACCATTTTCTACCATGGTGAATAGCAGTGGGTATGCCGCAAACATGGAAGGTAATATTACTTTTATATGCTTCTTGCCTCTCTGTAAACTGAAATTTAATAAAACTGTGAACTGCCATTAAAAAAAAGTCTGTTCATAGTAGGAGCCCATTTTAGGTATTACTTATAGTGTTTCATTTTTCTGCCTTGCTGTTTTGCTCTTCCAAAATTCCTTTTCAAAACTCTGATTGATCTTGGCTCCTTTGTTGTAAATTAACCATCCACATATGTGTGTGTTTATTTCTGGACTCAATTCAATTTCATTAATCTGGGGAGCCTGTTTTTTTTTTCTTCTTTTTTTTAAATCCCAAACTGTACTGCTTTAATTATTAGCACTTTACACCATAGTGTGAAGTCAGAGAGTGAAATATTTTTGTTTTGCCTCTTTTTTCTCAGAATTACTTGGGCTACTCAGGTTCTCTTGTGGTTCCATACAAATTTTAGAATTGTTTATTCTGCTTTCTTAAAGAGCACCATCAGGATTTTGTTAGGGATTGCACCAAATCTGTAAATTGCTTTAGATAATTTTGGCTATTTAAACAATATTTAGTCTTCCCGTCAGTGAATATGGAACAATGCACAAGGCCCAAACCGAAATACAGAGCTAAGGAATGTAGTAGTTTAACTTAAAAGTGCATTGAGAGGGATGAAGCTGCTTGGCGCTGAAAACTAAGCTGGAAAATAGGGTGTAATGAAGTCCTGAAAAAAAGGAAAACAAAAACAAAAAGATTAAGATAACAGAAAACTAATGGGACAACAGCCAAAGGCCTAACACCTGGATTCTAAATGCAGAGGAGAGCCAAAGGGGTTGGGACAGGACATTACCTGGGCAAATCATAGCAGAGAACACTCAGAACTGGGAAAGCCATCGAATTTCCAATTCTGGGAGACTCAAGGAGTCCTAAATCTCATTGCATGCTGGTGTGTAGTTCTCTTTACATTGCCCAGTTTGGCATCTGAGAATATGCTATTGTTCCAGAGAGACCTTCTCCTGTATCTTTCCTCTGTTTCTACTATCTGTGTCTGTTGGGCTGGACCGATAGCACAGTGGGTTGGGCATTTGCCTTGCACACAGCTGACATGGCCGACCTGGGTTCAATTCCTCTGCCCCTCTTGGAGAGCCCGGCAAGCTACCGAGAGTATCTCGCCCGCACAGCAAAGCCTGGCAAGCTCCCCGTGATGTATTCAATATGCCAAAAACAGTAACAACAAGTCTCACAGTTTGTTGTGAGACATTACTGGTGCCCACTTGAGCAAATCGATGAACACCGGGAAGACACTGCTACAGTGCAGTGCTACAGTACTGTCTGTGACTACTTTCAACAGAGGGGAGGATTCTCCCACAGGTAGAGCCTACCTGGGACAAGTGCTTTGCTGTACCCATCACCGTGGCTGATCTCAGGAAGCAGGAGGCAGGGAGTAGAAGTTCGAAACAGTTAATGGGTTTGATCCTGTGGCATCTTTCAGAGGCAGCAAGAATGCCTTCCAGAACTTTATGTTTGAAATATGGATGTACTTAATCCATCCGCTTCCAGCCCCTGCCATTTGAGGATTGTTATAGGGTCCTCAGCACTTAGGAAATTAGACTTATGATAGCAGAAAAGTCAGAAAAGAAAGACAGACATAGCATCCTGGAGGTGGGCCATTGTTGATGCAGCGTGAGTTAAGGCTCGTGTAAAAACATCATAGCTGAAGTCAAAATCAGAGTGGACAACAGAAGTTCACCTATGGCACATTCAGTTTAAAATTAGACGGCCAAGTGCAGGAGAGAAGTCTGAAACAGAGATAAATGCAAGGACTGTCAGCGTGTAGATGGTCATATTATAGCCATGAAACTAAATGAGAGGTGGGTGTGGTGGGTAAGGGGAGTGTAGATTCATACTCACATATTCATTACATTGTTAGGTTCTACTGTTATTGTTCCTGTGCCTAATTTATTAATTCTTACCATGAATTGGTATGTACTGGGTAAAGCAGAGAATGTTTAGTTCCAGACCCTAAATACTGCTATTCATATTCTCCCTTATCTACAGTTAGAAGCAGCCTTTGGGGTCTTGAAGTCTGTGCCCTGAGAATGAGCCGGACATGGGGTCAGGGGATGCATTTCGGCCACCCATGTAATTTCCTGTTTAAAAAACAAAACCCTGTATATATGGGGGGGGAGGGATTATTTAGACAAAAAAAGAAACCACTGGAATACATATGAGAGGAATTTTTTCAGACTGCGACTCAGCACACCCCACAAGTCTGTGTGTGTTTTAGAGCAGAATTGTGCAATGGTGAGTAAGGGTCACCCGAAGAGTTGGATTCTCATTTCCTGTGCTGCGTGGCTCCGTTAAAATAGAGGCTAGAACTTGTAGCTGAGAATATTCCTTCAAATTATTTTACATATGCCTTCTACTTCCTTCCACAAACTTGTTCATGTCTAAGACTTTGTAATTTAGTGATTTTTTTTAAACTTCAAGGAATTTTATCTTTAAGGCTGTAATAATTAGATGGCGGGTTATTTCTAGGATTATCTCTTCTGTTTAAACATCTCTATAAAAACAAACCTTTTGTCAAACTGTTCAGAATTTATATAATAAAGGATAATTACTACTGCTTTTTAAAAAAATTACCCTGGTAGGTCAAAAATTCAAGAGTCCTTAAGTTCCCTAGGTTATGCAATTCCTGAAGTCTGCTGCTTCTTTCCCATGTAGCAACAGGGGGAGGTGTTCCATATGCCAACTGAACATCCCATAAACCAGTGGTGTAGCATAGCATTTCCAAACTCACCATCACGGTCACGGTCCTCCCGTTGTTCATCGATTTGCTCGAGCGGGCCCAGTAACGTCTCCATTGTGAGACTTGTTACTGTGTTTGGCATATCGAGCGCGTCACGGGTAGCTTGCCAGGCTCTGCCGTGCGGGCGAGATACTCTCGGGCTTGCCAGGCTCTCCGAGAGGGGCGGAGGAATTGAACTCGGGTCGGCAATGTTGGCTGCGTGCAAGGCAAAAGCCCTACCGCTGTGCTATTGCTCCAGCCCTTCCAAACTCATGCAGAATTTTACACAGTAGTTTTCTATGAATTAGTTCAGCCACCTCCACATTCAGACCCAGAAAAATAGGACTGTTTTAATACTCACCATTTAAAAAGAATATCTTAATTACGCATACAAAGAAACAGATTGGAATATTACATATTTGGAAATCTTTCTATTAATATAATTAAGGTATATTTGTAATTGTCCCAGTAGACTCACATAGTTAAGCCAAATGTATAACAGTATAATCAAGTTCTCTTTTCTTTTCTTTGGTGCCAGACATCAAAATCAGGATCTTTCCCAGACAAAAGCACTCCCACTGAGCCACGTCCTGGTCCCCAAGTTTATTTTGGTTTGAGGCCACATCGTGTAGTGCTCAGGGCTTACTCCTGGCTCTGCATCCAGGGATCACTGCTGGCTGGGCTCAGGGAATTATATGGAATGCCCGGGATTGAACCTGTGATGCTGAGTGCAAGGCAAGCACCCTATCCGCTGCACTATCACATCAGGCCTCCAAAACTTTGTTTTAACCAATGAAGTAAAGTGATTTATATAAAACAGCTTGATTAAAAAGTCTCATTAGAATCATAGCAAAACCATTATTTTGGAACTGGAAGAAACCACAGAAACCAAATCCGCTCTTTGAAAAATTAAAGTATTATGATATCTCTGGGTCAGGTTCCAAATACTGCACTAAGATTCTCTAGACGAGTGTTCAGTAGAAGCACCATTGACATAAAGGGACTAGTTCCGTTTTGTGGGGGCTCCATCATTTTCAGTGCTTTGTGTGGCAATATGTTTTTTTTTTGTTTGTCTATTCTGGGGCCACATCCAGCTATGCTCAGGGCTTACTCCTGGTGGTCTTGTGTGTGCGTGTGTACGCAGGGTGGGGGGAAGGGGCGCTCATATAGGATGCTAGGGATCAAACTCAGGCTGCATGCAAGACAAGTGCGCCCCCCCCGCCCCGCTCCTAATCCAACCCTGGTAATATATTCTCATACTTAGAAAAAGTTGGAAAAATGTATTTTCAGTATTATTACAAATGTGCAGAGATTGAAAGGAGCCCATCTGGAGTTTTAGAAGTCTAAAGGTCTGCTTCCTGGGGTCAAAGTGATAGCACAGCGGGTAGAGCGTTTGCCTTGCACGCGGTCGACCTGGCTTCAATCCCCGGCATCCTATATGGTCCCCCGAGCACCATCAGGAGTGATTCCTAAATGTAGACCTGGGAGTAGCCCTCAAGCATTGCTGGGTGTAACTGGGGAAAAAAAAGCAAAATAGATAAATAAATAATTAATTAAAAAAAAAAAAGGTCTCCATTCCTGTTGCGAAGTCTTTCCCACAAAGCAGATTGGCTCTTCTGTTTGTTGGGGGCCATGTCCAGTCACACTCAGGAGGATTTAATGTAAACTGGACATTTTTGCCAAGCATGAGCTAGTGAGGTGATGGTTCTGCTGTGTGGAGAATGCCCCCCAGGAGGGTGATTTCCCATTTGTGCTAGGCCACAGGTACTGGGTGGTCCTGCCATGGTCATCCCCCAAAGAGAGGCTGTGGTCTCCTTTAAACTCTCTCCCAGATCCCTAGTGCCCAAAGGTCCAGGGACTGAGGCAACTCAGCTGCTGGACTTTCCGGGGTTCCTGCTCCTTTGGGGCCGGCACAGTTTTAGGGTTTCCCAGCACTGGACCCAGGGGCAGCTCCATGGCTCAGGCGAGGCAGAGGTAGGCCCTGCGCTGCTCAGAACACTGAGTGGGCCCAGCAACCCAGCTGCCTGCACTCCCCACACCATGCACCTTCTCCGGCCACCCCACAGCATTGCAGCTGGGCCGTGGGACCCTGGCTTTCACCTACATGAGCACCACAGCGACCCCTGGCAGGTACCCCATCACCAGAACCAGGAGCAGAAGCCCCGGCCAGCACAGCACAGCCAGGGATAGGCCTCCTGGGAGCACCACAACCCAGCCTGGTACCCCGTCATGTCAGCAACTGTGAGAGGAAGGGAGGGCAGGAGGGAGAGAAGGTTTCCTACCAGGAACTTTTCTGGGGGTGATTCCTTAGCGGTGCCTTCCGTCACTTCGTCCAGGCAAGTTCTCTTCTCCTCAGGTTTGTTGTGAGAGAGCTGTCACTAAACTCATCTCTGTGTCCTTCACGCTGCAGACTGCAGGCACCCCTCCCACATGGCCCCCTTAGAATGTCACTTCCAAGTTGCCTTGGAGTTAGTTGTCCCCCAGAGGCCCTTGCATCTCCAACGGTGCCTGCCTTTTCTGGGGCCTTCTCCTCCCTCATGCTTACTGTTCATTTAGGCTTGATTATCCCCCTCTCTGCCCATTTTCACTCCAGCATCCACGCAGCACCCACCCAGCCGGCCAGCCCTGCACTGTCTTCTGTCCAGGTTTAGCTCTTTTGGATGGTCACTGTCCCAGCAGGCTGAGCTCTGGCTCAGCTTCTATGGGGAGTAGCAAGCTCTGGATGAACCTGGGCTCTGGAAATTGAGTTGATTTCCCCGATCCCTCAGACCCCTTCATCTGCGCGTTTGGGACCTTGGGAGTCAGGTGCCAGGTGCCAGCTTTCTTTTGGTGTACCCTTTTCTCCTTCCTCTCTAAGAAAGCTTCTCCATGCTTCTGGGTTGTTTGCCATACAGGTGAAAACCGAACACACGTGCACACACATGTATACATGCGCACACACACACACACACACACACACACACACACACACACACACCCTCTTTCCCCTTAGGGTATATTTAATGCCAGCGTTTGGTGCTTTGGGTCACTGAATTGAGCTGCTCTGCCTTCCCCATCTATGCATTGGGCAGGGCCGTACATTTCAGAAGGAGCTTGTTTAAAGCATTTTTTAAAAATTTTTATTAGTGAAATACCATGAGGTACAGTTGTAGACTTACAAATTGTTGTGCTTGGGTTTCAGTTATACAATGATCGAGTACCCATCCCTCCACCAGTGCCCATTCTCCTCGCCCAATACACATCCGACAAGGGGTTGATATCAAGGATATACAAAGTACTGGTTGAACTCCACAAGAATGAAGCATTTTTAATTGTTAGAACAAAGCCCCCCTCCAATTTTTTTTTAAAAAAAGCCTTATCTATGGAAGTAGATTGTTTCTGTATGCGCACAACTGAAATACCATTTGGAGAGGGAGTCGGGGGTGGGGACGCGGCCTGACATTAATGAGGGAGGAGGCAGACAATTGGTGGTTGTTAGGTGGTTGTTAGAGTTTCTGTTTTCTTTATATCCTTTATCCTCAAGTTGCAACCTCCCCCTCATCTAGCTCCTTTAAAAAATGTGATGCTTGTGGAATTTTCTACGTGTGCCTCCACCAGAACATTATTGAAGGTTTCTTTTTTACCCCTAGTCAGCGACAACGGCTCGGAATTATGTATTTTTTGTTTTTGAGAGGCATCGTGACTGTGCAACAAAAGTATAACCAAGAATTGGGTTTCCAGCTTCCTGAAGTATAACTATGAAGGGAAATATCTTCTGATTCATATGCCAGCCATATAGGTATCTTTTTGTGACTCATCCAAGAATGGCTGGAATTTCTTTAGCATTTCCATCAAGAAAGTTGTTGTTTTTGTTTTTTTTAAAATCTAGATTATTCCCCTTCATTACAGTGAGCTTATTAGCTCTTCTAGCCCATAGAGGAGTAGAAAGTTGGGGACCAGGCTGTTATAGCACAGTGGGTAAGGCTAGTATGCGTGAGGCTAACCCAGGTTCAGTGCCCAGTACCATTGAGTCCTGCTAGAAGTGACCCCTGAGCACAAAGCCAGGAGAATCCCTTACGACCACTGGGTGTGGCTCAGCGCTCACCAAAAGAAAAGAAAAAAAAAACAAAAAAAACACAAAAAAAGAGTTGAAAGTTTTGTTTTTCAAACTATCCAGAGAAAACATATTCTTGGAACGATGGAATTTAACCCTTTTAATCTGCATGTCTTTGAAGAGTGACGCAGAGCTCACGCCATCCAGAACTGTTTCTCAGTTCTCAGAGCATCTGAGGAGTAATTCCCGGAGCCATCAGATCTCTTTAGGGTGTCAGAGGAGCGAACCGGAATCGCTCTCAGTTTAGGTAAAATCCATTTGCAGGCATGCTATTGTTCCCTATATTTGAACAATCTGTCCAAAACGCGAGCCATTCACACAAGACCGTGCCTGCACAGATCTGAGTGGGAATCAGTAGTTTCTTTGTTCGTCTCCATGGAAACGAGGCAGCCTATCCCGATGCTCTGAGATCAGCAGCTGCTGCTCAGCTTCAGTGTAACTTCATCGCCGAGTGGGCTGGCACCGGCATCTCTCTGCCTGCAGCTCTCCTCCCGGGAGCCAAGCGAGCACCATGCAGGACGCGCCCCGGAGGCTCTCGGCCATGCCCTTCCTCAGCGCCTTCTTCCAGGGCCGCCGCCACTCCACCTCGGAGCCCATGATGCGGCTGCAGCAGGACCGGGGCAGCTCCGCCGCCAAGTTGCTGTCGTCTTCCTCCCTCCAGGTGATGGTGGCCGTGGCCTCCGTCCGAGGCGTTGAGAGAAACCCAACTTGCCCCGAGAGAAAAAGTAAAGTTCTTTTTTTCCCCCCTTCTGACAGCTCGCCACACCTTTTGAGCTTAGATTGAAGGCGTGTGAGTGGGTGAGTTGAAAATGTTGATGGTTCTGCAAGCTGCATTTTCCTCTCCTGCTCAGAATCGCAGTGGGCAGGAGCAGGGCGATAAACTGTGAGTGTTTGGCATGCGTTCACGAGAAATGTAGATTTTGAACGAGACCTGGTAAAGGATGGGCTGCAACCGTTTCTTTCTCTCTGTGACCGACGTGACAGGTAGCGATGGTGGCTTTGTGCACTAGAGAGAGCATGCACCCCCCCAGAGGGGCAGGGGCCATGGGACATGCACCGAGGCCACCAACTGGACACCTCCAGGCCTCGAGGAAGCAGAAGCTGTTTTCCACGTTCCGGTTCCGGTGGGGGAGTGGAATTGTGACTCTCCCCATCTCTGTCTGTTCCAGGACATTCGGGACGCCCGGCACCCAAGTACACGAAAGTTGGAGAGCGTTTGCGACATGTCATCCCCGGACACATGGCCTGCTCCATGGCGTGCGGTGGCAAAGCCTGCAAGTATGAGAACCCAAGCCGCTGGAGCGAGCACGAACAGGCCATTAAGGGGCTCTACTCATCCTGGTGAGCCACCCTGCCCATATGTGGGGCTGACCCCAGAGCCAAGTGGGAGAGGGGCATGGGGTGCCGCACTCCCGGGGCACAGCACTGGAGGTGCAGGAGTCAGGCTTGGGAGCCAGGCGGCCTCCCCTCCCCATTCCCACTTCGCCACCTGACGGGCCGTGTGAGCACAGCCTATTTATAAAGGCACCCTGAACCAGTTTCTGCATCCATCCAAGGGACAGAGATGCCAGCCCCTTGGGTTTCCCTAGTTCTAATTAGGTGAAATGTAGGTAAGGCTCCTACCACGGTCAGTAGATGCCTCTTCAGCCGCAGAAACGGCTAGAAATGGTAGAAAGCACTCAGCTTAAATATCTGAGACTTTGGGGTGCACATGTAGTTTTCCACTTCCCTCCGGTCAGCGGAAACCTCTCTCTAATCTTGTTCTTGTGTTCCGGCTGAAAGAACACGTTTTCACTCAAGCGTGCTTTTAGTCTGCTAGGGAAGGGGCTTGAGCGACAGCTTGCATTGTTTCTGCAGGGGTTTTCCAGCCATGGGTCTGGCAGGAGCCCACACACTGCTCTGTGCCCCTGCGGTTGATTTCTGGTATGGAAGTGAAGTTCCTTCACTGTTAACTCATCCTGTTTATTAGCAGTAAACTGCCAGCTCTGCCCGCTAGTAATGGTTCTGAAACTTCCCAGTGATCCGATCACATTCAGAATGCTCCTGGAGGAGCCAGAGAGCTAGTATAGCCAGTAGGGCCCTGACCTTGTATGCAGCTCACCAGGGTTCAGTCCCCAACACCCCATAGTATAGTCCCCCCAGCACTGCCAGGAGTAATTCCTAACTGCAAAGTCAGGAGTAACCCCTGAATATCACCAGGTCTGGCCCCAAAATAAAACCAAAACAAATACACTTAGAGGAATTTTCCACTTGAAGAACTCTGTGAGGGAATTTTTTTATTTGTAATGTAGCAAGGATTCGTTTATCAGTGATCAACTGGATCCTTGTCTCCTGCTCCCCCAGCTTATAGCCAATACTTCTTCATATTGGGTTCGCTGGTCCTGGTGTGAGGATGCCAGCTAGGCCCCACTGGCCCCCTAGCCTCCCAGCACATCACATTCCAGGCTGTGTCCAGCCTTCTTACTGTGTCAGGAAATGCCCACGAGTCAGTTTCTAATGATCAGCTTCAGATCACATGAATAGTTTGGATTTATTGGTGATGATGTCCTCTGAGTCTTTTTCACGTCTGCAGCTTCTATGGTACATCTTTCCTCTTTTGTTCTAAGAACTTTCAATTTGGTGGTGGTGTGTGTGTGTGGGGGGGGGGGGGGGGGAGGTGTTCCTGTGGAGAGTGAACCCTGTGGCCATCTCAGGCATTGGCACTAGGGAAGGGTCCTTTCTGGATCTTTCTCCGTTTGTCATTGTCTGTGGTATGCCTCTCTAATTCCTGGGCCCATGCCTCCCATTTCTGTCTCTTAGCAGGCCTTTAGCTCTCAAGATGGGGAAGCTGAGCCCAGGATGCTGTTTGTTGGGCCTCTCTCCTTTCATACTATCAATACACATCCATTTGACTCCACGCCAGGCTCTGTGCTAGCCACTCTTAAATTATTGTCTTTGATCTTCACAGAACTCTTGTGAAGTAGGCATTGTTAATGTCCTTCTTATTGATGAAAGAATTGAGGTCCAGAGAACTAAGTGATTTGCTATAAAGCAGAACAGTCAGCATTTGAAACCACTCCCAGTTGACCCAAAGCCCAGCCCTTATAGATAGATAGATAGATAGATAGATAGATAGATAGATAGATAGATAGATTGATTTGGGGGTGAAGTGTGTTTAGGCTATACCTGACCTCAGGGAATACTCCTTACTTTGCACTCAGGAATTATTCCCAGCGGTGCTCAGGGGACCATATTAGGATGCCAGAGATTAAACCTGGGTCAGCTGCGTCCTGGGCAAGTGTCCTACCTGCTGTATTATTACTCCAGTACCCCAGCCCATTTAAAAAAAAATTTTGCTAAAATACTCTGCACTTAATTATAACAATAAGTTATAAATATTTATATAAATTTATGTATATAAATTTATATAAATATGCCAAACACAGGAACAAGTCTAACGATGGAGACGTTACTGGCTTGCTCGAGCAAATCAATGAACAACGGGAGGACTGTGACCATGTCATAAATATTTATAACAATAAATGCAGAGTATTTTAGCAAAAATTTTAAAAATCACACAGTAGCATGTGTGTTTAAGACTCGAAATCCATGTCATATTGATTTTTGACACAGTCTTAGCACTGTAGCACTGTCCTCACGGTGTTCATCAATTTACTGAGCGGGCACCAGTAACGTCTCCTTTGTGAGACTTGTTGTTACTGCTTTTGGCATATTGAATACATCATGGGTAGCTTGCCAGGCTTTGCCGTGTGGGTGGAATACTCTCGGTAGCTTGCCAGGCTCTCCGAGAGGGACGGAGGAATCGAACTTGGGTAGGCCATGAACAAGGCAAACACCCTACCCGCTATGCTATTGCTTCAGCCCAACACAATCTTGTTACATGGGTATTCCCTCCCCCTTTAACTTTTTAAGGTAAGTTGAGGCCGTTCCCTGCAAAGAACTCCCCCCAGCACCTCCTCACAAAGTGACTTTAAGATAGCCATTCAGATATTACCTTTTCTGCACCGTTGAGGATGCCCTGTAGTATCCTGTATACTTTCCTGAGAGTCCATGAAAATGCTTTCCTGTGGCAATAAACATAGGTGTGTGTATATATATCCTTTCAAGTTCATATTTTTGTGTTTGGACGTAGATACCAAGAAGTAGTATCACTGGATTGAGTGGTAGTTCTATTTCTATTTTTTTTTTTGAGAGAGAGATTTCCATTTTGAGAAGCTAGTATTTCTTAAGCGTGTCTACTCAGGGTATAAAACCCATAACAAAAGCTGTATGAAAGTATTCTTATCTTCTATCTTCTTCTTAAATCACAGGGGAAAAGGTAGAGGGCTTGATATCTTGTTCTGTCCCTCTTTGGAGCTCGACTCTTTTAGGCCCTCTGCCACTCACTCGTGCCTCCTTCCCTCTGTAGGGTGACTGATAATATCCTGGCCATGGCCCGCCCATCCACCGAGCTTCTGGAGAAGTACTGCATCATCGAACAATTTCGAAGGTGAAGTGCCACACACTTACTTGCCTTAAAGAAAGCCGCCAAGTAATGTTCTCGTTTCCATGGTTTTTAGCTTTAAATGCAAAGTGCTTTTATTTTCATAGTATGCAGTAAAGAACTCATTCCGAACAGGAAGTGTTTGAGCGTAGTGTTTATTAGTGCAACAACAAAACAGGTTAATCCTTTTAAGTACTAGCATCGATTATGACTTTTTTTTCTTTTCCTTTTAAGCCATGGCATAAAAACAATAATCAACCTGCAGCGCCCTGGAGAGCATGCCAGCTGTGGGAACCCCCTGGAGCAGGAGAGTGGCTTCACCTACCTTCCTGAGGCGTTCATGGAGACCGGCAGTAAGTCTTCACCCTTCCCTATGAATAATCAGGGGTGCGTAAAACGTTCTGCTCTTTTTTTTCGGTTGTTTTGTTTGTTTGTTTGTTTGTTTTTGGGTCACAGCCAGCAGTGCTCAGAGCTTACTGCTGGCTCTGCACTCAGGGTTCACTCCTGGCGTGGGGGACCCTAGAGGGTGCTGGGCATCGAACGTGGATCACCAGCGTGCAAGGCAAGCACCCTGCCTGCTGCACCATCGCTCTGGCCTGTCTCCTCAGCTCCTGGCATTAGAAGTGGGAGTGGAAAATAACACTGCACAGTTGTCCGAGGCCGCGCTAACTTTGACTTTAAACAGTGCTGGCTTTCTTCCTTGGCACTGCTGTTGAAAGTACGGCATTTCCTCTTTTCCTGAGAGAGGGATTTTGGGTGGAGGCCCTGGAGGAATATTGGTAACGTTTCATTTCTGAGTAATGAAAAACGGACAGATCCCAGATGGTTGTCTCATTCCGTGAGTGCCCGGAGCAGTCCTGTAAGAAGTAGTTTCTGCTTTGCACATTAGACCCCACGGTTCTTGAGAGAGAACAATTTTGACCACAATCTCACAGTGCAAGTGATTAGGAGCTCCTGTTCCTACTTGTGCTGTCACTGCTGCTTGTCATACCCCAGCAGGATGCTGGGTCTCATGGGACTCCCCACCAGCTACTTGGTTACGGGGGCTTTCGGGTAGGATCCACTTGCATACATCATTGCTACCAGCCTAGACAGTAAACCCGTGTGATTTTTAGAGCTGGTTTTTAAAAAGCTGTGTCTGGGTTGTACTTCTCCCATTAGCTAGCTAGAAAATCTGTGTATGTCATCTTGTGCCATTTATCAGTCACTTAGACATGTTTTAGCATTTAAACATGACTGTGATTTCTCTCCATAGCTGGGGAGAGAAATCTTAAGACAGAACACTTACTTTGTTCATTTGAAATCTTACTTTTAAATAATTTTTTCTGGTTGAGTTTCATCAGGAACTAGTTTAAGATAGAATGTGCTTCATTTAAAAAAAATGTTAATAATAAACTTAGTAGAAACAGAAAAAGCCTATTAGAATAGGTCTCTTTAGTCAGTGAAATCTAAGTGCTGAAACACATTGTACTTTATATTATCTCACTCTTTTCTTCAAGTGTTCAAGCATGTTTACTATATGATTTTGGGGGAACTGTTCTCTTTTCATTTCTAGTTTATTTCTACAATTTCGGGTGGAAGGATTATGGCGTGGCGTCCCTCACCACCATCTTAGATATGGTGAAGGTTATGACATTTGCCTTACAAGAAGGAAAGGTTGCTGTCCATTGTCATGCAGGACTCGGGCGAACAGGTAAATTCTAGGAGGTGGGTTTTTTTTTTTTGGCTATGTAATAGCATATTGAAACAGATTAGGATTAGTATTTCCTAAATTCTTGAGTAAATATCTTTTTCAGAGTCTTATCAGAATTTTGGAGTCAAAGGGAAGAAGTAAATAAAAGACATTTGAAATCTTCATTTCACTATGCTTTTGAGACTGTTTTAGTGACTCAGGACTAAAAACTCCTATTTCATAAACAGCTCTTTATAGCTAGCTAAATGACCTAAATGACCACTCTGATTTTCTTTTTTTTTCCCAAAGAACCAACTTCATATTTTAATACATAATGTCTTTTTAAAAGGGTAATTTTTCTTGACCAAAATAATAACAAAATGACAAACATAGAACCTACTCTGTCCAAAGCATTTTACATCTACTATCTTTGTAAGTCTTTAGAAACAGTGGGAGTTTTGAATGTCAATTAATTAGTTACCTCAAGCAAATAACAAGACCAAGATTTAAATTCATGACTCTTCCAAAAGACAGGACAGTAGGTAAGGCACTTGGCTTGCATGTGGCTGACCCAGGGCCCATACCTGGCACTGCATTTGGTCCCCTGAGACCCACCAGAGTGTACAGAGCCAGGATGTGTCCTGAGTACAAACAAATAAATAAACCCATGACTACAGATTGTGTTTATAAAGAAGAATTTACATCCCTAGATTTGTGTGTGTGTTGTTTTACTTAAAAGTGCAGCAGAATTTCAGCACAGTGCTGTATTGGATTGTTGGGTCTTTCTTGTCACTGGGTCCGATCACACACTAGTGCTTGACTCGGGCCTCTCTGCATGGTGCCTGCCATCAGACCTCTTACCTGGCTGAGGTCATCTTCAGGTCTGGGACTCAGTTCTGCCCAAGGTAATAGTTTTAGGAGTCAGGCAAAAATCTCACTGTTTCCTGGGGAGGTCACATAGTAGCTCTGCAGATACTTCATATGTATTTAAAGGCCTGACACATCCTAGCGATGGAGAAGTTGGACACTATCTCCCATATCACAGGAAATACTTAGTTTTCATTTTCATATGTAACAAATGTCTCAAACTTGGAGAATCACACAGGTGTTGCTTGATTTGCCTTTCACTTCAATATTAATTGACATAGAATTGGTTGATTTTTTTTTCTTTTTGGGTCACACCTGGCGATGCACAGGGGTTACTCCTGGCTCTGCGCTCAGAAATCACCTCTGGCGGTGCTCAGGGGACCATATGGGATGCTGGGAATCGAACCCAGGTCGGCCGCGTGCAAGGCTAATGCCCTACCCGCTGTGCTATTGCTCCAGCCCCCATAGAATTGATTGATTTTGACCTTTTCATTTATTACTTATTTTAATTTGATTCTAACTTATAAGAATATATGGTATTATACTGATGTACCTGATTTTTTTTTGGCTTTTTGGGTCACATCTGGTGATGCTTAGGGGTTACTCCTGGCTCTGCATTCAGGAATTACTTCTGGTGCTCAGAGGACCATATGGGATGCTCGGGATTGAACCTGGATTGGCCACCACGTGCAAGCCTTACCTACTGTACTATGGCTCCAACTCCTGATTTCTTTAATATTAAGTGTTTCGAGAAAGATACTTATGTAATGATTTGGAGAAAAGCATAGTGTAGATAAAATCCTGGGGTGAAAATGGGTTGTAAATGTGAATAATCTCCCTCCACCCCCAAAAAGATCAAGTAAGGAGAATGCAAGCTGGAGCTGACAGTGGCTAGTGCTAATTGCTGAGGTGAGAAGTCCCAAGCATAGGTATGAGTCAGCTGAGTAGGGAATCATAAGTGCTCTTCAGAATTAGTTAATGGAGAACAGGATTCGCTTCCCTTTTTTTTTTTTTTTTTGGATTCGCTTCCTTTTTACTGGGAGTTTGACAGAAGTAAAAATTTATTGGCTAGCTAATGAGTTCCTTGAGTTCTCATACGACTACACTTACTCCTAACCCTCCTCACTCCACGTTTACTCGCTCCCCGCTCACTCCACACTTAATAATCATCTCTCCTTACTGTGCACTCACTAGGTCGCCCCCTTTAATTCACACTTTATCATCCTCCATTTACTGCACACAAGTGCATCATATCCCCTCACAGTCAGATGTCATTCTGCTTCACACTCACTCGTGTACCGCCTCAGTCTACATCCTTGTTACTCCCTGTTAACTCAGAACCCCTCTAATCCCCACTTATTCATGCTCTGTCATCATTCCCCACACTCGACACTCAGTCATCCTCTCTTCTTACTCTACCTTTACCGTTTCCTGTACACCACTCTTGCTCATCATGCCCTCTACTTACCCTTACTCATCCTTCTGCCTCACTTCACACTCAACTCCCGTATTCCACACGTACTCCACACTATTACTTACTCTATACTACTCTCCTCCTTACTCTACACTACTCCCCGTTCTCCATGCTTACTCATCTTCCTCTTGATACTCATAATTTTCCATATTTTATAACAGCATTTCTCAGTCAGAGATCATATGGTCCCCCGTGGGTCCTGCAGGATATTCCAAGGGCACAACAGGTGGAAATTTCATAAATAGAGGCCATGACTCTAGACAAGGGGACCAACTAGTGGAATGAAGCAGGGATCCAGGAAGGAAACAGGGTCGGAAGGGGACCACGATCAGAGCAAAGTTGAGAAATTGCACTCTGCACTGAATTATCAAACCCATCAATTCCATGTATACTTATGTCCTATCACATCAGATTACTCAGTATCCCTTCTTTTTTTTTGTTTGTTTGTTTTTTGTTTTAAATTTTTTTTTATTAGTGAAACACCATGAGGTACAGTTATAGGCTTACAAATTTTGTGCTTGGGTTTCAGTTATACAATGATCAAGTGCCCATCCTTCCACCAGTGCCCGTCATCCATCACCATGGGTCCCAGCATCCCTCCCACCCCCCCATCCCCCCCGTCCCATCCTGCCTCTGTGGCGGGGTATTCCCCCTTGTTCTCCCTCTCTTCTTTTGGGTACTGTGTTTTGCAAGAGAGACATTGAGTGGCAATCATGTTTGGTCTATAGACTACTTTTAGCATGCTTCTCCCACCCTGGGAGGGTCCTCACAACACCCTTCATTTGGTGCTCTCTTCTCTATCTGAGCTTCCTTTTCACCTAGGACGTGTGGCTGGCCTTCCATTCATGGAGCAAAATTCCTGGTACTAATCTCAGCCACTCCTGGGTGTTAGTCTCCCTTTTTGTTGCTTTATGTTCCCCAGATGAATGCAATCTTTCTGTGTCTATCCCGCTCTTTCTGACTCATTTCGCTTAACATGATACTTTCCATGTAGTACCACTTGTATGTAAATTTCATAACTTCATTTTTTCTAATCAGCATCCCTTCTTACTCCACACTTCCTCATCATTTCCCTTCATTCCACATTTATTCTCTTCCTTACTCTTAACTTACTCGTCATCCCTCCTTTAGTTCATATTGGCTCGCCTTCCCTCCTTACTCTGAACGTACTCATTCTCCTCCCTCACTCTGTCTTGCTCACTTTCCCTCTTTGCACTTAGTCATCCTACTACCTCGCTCCATATTGCTCACCTTCCTTCCTTTCTCTATACTTAGTCATCATCCTCCCTCAGTCTGGATTGCTTAACGTTCCACCTTACTCGATCCTTTACATTCTCCACAACACTCCACACTTACTCATCGCCATCCCCAATATTTCACACAGACTCGTTATCCTCCCTCACTCCACACTTTCTCTTCGCTCCTCCCGTTTTATGCTTCTTCCTCATCCCTCCTTATTCTGTACTTATTTCTCATCCTCACTTACCCCGTACTAACTCATCATAGCCTCTTGCTTCACACTTACTCATTATACTATATTGAGTACTCCATACTTCATTCCTCCGTACTTTGTCCCTCCATGACTGTTCATGTGTGAACACAGAGAACAGAAGTGTCAGGTTGAAGGGAATGGGCATCATCATACAGGCGAGCAAATACATGCACAGCGGTACATAAAGTCACGAAGCTATAGTGACCCCAAAGCTTTCCTTGATTTGTGTGATTTCCTAACACTTTTACATATATTAAGTCGTAAAAATGCGGTAAGTAAAATGTGCGTTTTTCTCTTACCAATCTTCTTCACTGTTTAGGTGTTTTAATAGCATGTTATTTAGTTTTTGCGACAAGAATGACTGCCGACCAGGCAATCATCTTCGTTCGAGCAAAGCGACCCAACTCCATACAGACTCGAGGACAGCTGCTGTGTATCCGGGAATTTACTCAGTTTCTGATTCCCCTGCGCAACATTTTCTCCTGCTGCGACCCCAAAGCACACGCTGTCACCTTGGCACAGTACCTCATTCGCCAGCGGCACCTGCTTCATGGCTACGAGGCGCGGCTTCTGAAGCATGTGCCCAAAATCATCCACCTCGTTTGCAAGTTGCTCCTGGACTTAGCTGAAAACAGGCCCGTGGTGACGGAGGAAGTGGCACCAGCACCCGGCCTCTCTGCTGAAATTGAAAAGACGGTGTCTGAGATGGTGACGATGCACCGGGACCAGGAGCTGCTGTGGCCTGGTAGTGACACGTCTGACTCCTGTACCCCTTCCCTGGTGACAGCAGACGGTGAAACTCAGGGTATGATTCTTTCCAACGAGCACGAGTTCGACCCTCTTTGGAAGAGGCGGAATGTCGAGTGCCTTCAGCCCCTGACTTGTCTGAAGAGGCGACTCAGCTACAGTGACTCAGATTTGAAGAGGGCTGAGTGGCTTCTGGAGCAAGGGGGCACTCCGTGGACGGCACCTGTCCACTCCTTGCTTGACCCTAACTCCCGCCAGCAGAAGCCCCTAAGCCATTGTTGCACCCCCCAGACTCCCCACGTAGACTTGTGTAAGGAAACTCTGATCCATAACACATTTTCTTTCTGGAATCAAGCCAAATTTGGCGGCACGGAGGGACTCAAAGATGACAGGTCACCAGTTTCTTATCGAAAGAGTAATCAAAAGGAAGTTCCGCGAAGTCGAACTTTCTCTTCGGGTATTTCGTGTCCATTCAACCCTGAGGAGTCAGGGACACCCAACTGTGCACATTTCCAAAAAGAGCCAAACCGTTCTCACCAGCAAAAGCTCACTGGCCTGTACGAAGCCCCAGGCCGGGCTTCTAGCTCGAACACAGGGGACAGGGAGGCCCGCTCCATGCCTGTGGATTCTGGCTGTAGTTCCAAATCACAGGTCTTGGCTGGATCTGGACCACAGGGCAGCAAAGACCTTTCTGAACAGTCAGAATTGAGTGTCACTGCAAGGAGAGTCCTGGCGGCCAAAGCCCTAGCAAACTTAAATGAGTCTGCAGGGAAGGAGGAAGTGAGGAGGAAGGTCGAAATGTGGCAGGTATTTGTATGTTATTTACATATGTCATTTGTCACTGGAGTTGGTTGGCATGTCAGTATAATGTTTGTTTGGGGGCCACACCCGGCGGTGCTTGGGGCTTACTCCTGGCTCTGTGCTCAGGGATCATTCCTGGTGAGGCTCAGAGGAACCGTATGAGATACTGGGGATCGAACCCAGGTCAGCCATGTGCAAGGCAAATGTCTTACCTGCTGTTCTATCACTCCAGCCCCTTTTGAACTTCACTTTGCCGGGCTGCCATATAAGCTGACTGTCAGAGAGACAACAGATGCAGGACTGTCGTATGAAGTCCCGTTAGTTGTCTGTGTGAACAGAAGTGCTTAGTGCTGGGTCCTTTGTGGGCAGCCTGACCTAGCCAGGGGCTAATGTGAATTCATGCCAGCAGCAGCTTCCTTCTTTCCCACTGGGTCTGTGGGATAGACCGCTGGACAGGTGGGCAGGCCACAGCTCGACAACTCTGGGAAGTGACCTGATGTCTCTAACCCAAAGTCTGGGAGGGGGTTCTGCCTCTGCCGCTGAATCACTGAACTAGAGACGGAAATGAAAGCCAAGAAAATTCTTCCCCAGTACATAGCTCTGGTTGTTGAGTGAAGACAGGTGAGGTGTGATAAATGCTTCCTTTCCATCACCTCTCCTGGCCCTCTCAATCCTTGGTCATGGCAGCTTCAGGGTCCTGAGAATGGCAAGGAGCAACTAATGACCCGACTGTGTCCCTGTCTGACCTGAGATTGCACCTTTGGGACCAGTTGTTGGTTTTGAATTAGAATGTAAAATTTTTTTTTTTTACATTTTTCTGTTTGGATTTTGGGCCACATCTGGCTGTGCTCAGGGTCTACTCCTGGCTCTGTGCTCAGGGATCCCTCCTGGGGACTCAGAGGACAATATGGGATGCCAGGAATCAAACCTGGGTTGGCCACTTTCAAGGCAAGTGCCCCATCCAGTGTATTTTCTCTCCAACCCCAAATTTAAAATGTTCAACCCCTTTCATATGTTGTACCAAAACGATGGCCTTTAATCAATTATGCAACCCCTCAAATAAGGAGCTGTGGAAGAAAAGCCGGCTTGAGGAACTTGGTTTTATGAACAAACGCCCTCCCCAGGTACAGGACCGAGCAAAGGCCCTATGCAAGTACAGGCCTGAGCAGAGCCCTCCCCAGGTACAGGCCTGAGCAGAGCCCTGCCCAGGCAGAGGGCTGAGCAGGGAAAGTGTGACTCAGCGACATCTTGATCTGCCTGGATTACCAGGAACCATGTCCACCACTCTCTGCCACATTGCCCTGTAGTGAAGTCCAGGGTGGGTGCCTCAGAGGGGGTGACAGGGGCATCAGTGATGCAGAGGCGGAGCGCGAGGCAGCTTTGCCCTGACAGGGCTGCACCCAGGGAGCCTCCAAATTGCCTGTGTTTTGCTTCTCATGTACATCCCGTAGGAAGTGTCTTCGTTAGTTTCTGTCCACATCTGGCAAGGTCTGTGTCCACTCAGTCCTGTGTCCAGCAGCCTCCAGGAGGCCCGTGGGTCTCGAGATCATCCTGGATCACCCCCCCCCACCCGACCCCGTGCCCAAGCTGAGCCCCACCTCTGGCCCACACGAGACCCATCAGCTTTTCACCTGAATGGGTTGGGCTCCGCACCCCCACTTTCTAGGTGAATTCTAGGCCTGTCAGTCATACACCAACTGAATTCTGGAGAGAGTAAAATGACCATGACGTGAACAGCATCAGATGCTATACCTCTACTCAGCCCTTTAGCGTGTTATTCCTAGTGAGTTTCTTAGCCGTCCTGGGAGGCAGGTGGTGTATTTCTAGGTTCTCTGTTAGTCTTTATCATCCTTATGAATTGGGTGCCTAGGCTGGGGTGTCGAAAGTCCACGGGGGTCAAGTTACTTGCTCAATCACAAGTCACTGGGGGCATAGTTTGTGTGTTTAATGCTTCCTGTCACTCCCGATCTTTCCTAAAGACATTCTTTTTCTCACTTGCATTATAAACTTGAATAAAAAGCTCTTTTGCCTTAGGTATGATCTCTATGGAGTATGAAAGACTTGACATAACTGAAAGAATTGGTTTATTTATGTGATAATAAAAAGCATCCAGATGCCAGAAAGCTCTGTGCATGGCAGAAACATCAAACTGAGACAGAGCAGAAGTAGGTAGGAAGCTTCTTTTGCAGGCTTCTTGCTTTGGGCCACTGGGCACATTATTCCGTATTTGTCTCTGTGGCCTCCCTATCAGGTTGCTAAAATTCAGAGATAAGTCGTGTGTCACAGTAGCTCTCAGGTCGGAAGGGTTCAATCAGTATTAGGTGGGCAAATAATATATGGAAGCACTTCATAGTTTACTGCTGTTGGAGACAGACGTGTTTCTAAGACAAATATCAATTCTTTCAGGAATTAAGAGCTCGTTTCATTTTCCCAGCTCTGTTAGGCAAAGGTTTTGGATCTTCTGCGTAAAAGATCTCTAGGCATTTGGTGTACTGGCAAGACTTTCTAGTTATTTCCACTCTATCACTTCCAGGATGTGGGACCTATTATTTGTTGAGTTCTAAAGAGTGAGACCAGGGAGGTGGAACAGAGGGCTGGAGTGAAGGCTTTGCATGTAGGAACCTGGGCTTCAGTCCCCGGCATCACTTTGGTAATAACTCTGAGCCTCATGGCGATGGCCCCCACATAAAAATAATAGTAATTCTATAGAGGACTTTTAAAATGAATCTGAAAGAAAGAAAGCAGACCACGTTTTCCCACTTTCATGCCCCACCTCAAAGTTTCAGTCCCAAGCTTTCTCTTGGTTAGTTTTCCCTAGAGTAATTTGCCAGTTGCTCTTAGTCACACCTTTTCGTCGTGGTGATTCTCCCTCATGCAGTATCTCTGTGTTGTTCACTGAGGCTGTGAGGGGTGAGCTCCCTCCTCAGGAAATGCTGCTGTTCGTTAGAAGTGAAGTAACCAACTTGGGCAAGACAAGCACCTTCTCGGTGCTGGGAGGTTGGTCAGACCTCTTGGTTTTTCTACCCAGCAGCACGTGTGAGGCAAGGACTGACTGCACAGAGGGAAATCGAGGCCTGGAGAAATGGAGCATCTGAACCCATTCACTGCCTCAGAAGTGGGGAGCTGGAGGGGTCCCAGTCCACAACCCAGGACCTGACTGGGGCTTATTAGTCGTCCAGTGGTGCCACCCGCCCTCACTCTCAGCCCTCTGCTGCCCCCTTTGTCCTTCCCCTCCCCTCTCTCCCCCTTCCCCTCTCCTTTCCTGTGCGTCTCTGTCTTTTTTCTTTCTTTCTTTCTTTTTAGAAAGAACTAAATTCCCGAGATGGAGCTTGGGAAAGAATCTGTGGTGAAAGGGACCCTTTCACCCTCTGTAGCTTGATGTGGTCGTGGGTGGAGCAGCTGAAGGAGCCTGTGATCACCAAAGCCGACCTGGACATGCTGGTCAGCGCACGCGCAGAGGCGGCCGAGGCACTATTCCTGTTGGAGAAGGTAAGCTCATTCTTTGACGGACCGATGGCAGCAACTAAGGCCCTTGTGTAAGCTCTGCATGCTAAGAAGAAGGCATTAGAGGCTGGAGCGATAGCACAGCGGGGAGGGCGTTTGCCTTGCATGCAGCCGACCCGGGTTTGATTCCCAGCATCCCATACTGTTCCCCAAGTGCCGCCAGGAGTAACCCCTGAGCATCGCCAGGTGTGACCCAAAAAGCAAAAAAAAAAAAAGAAGGCATTCTTTTAAAACTGGAATTTGTGGGGCTGAAGAGATAATAAGGCAGGTAAGGCATGTGCCTTGCATGCAGCTGGCCCAGGTTCAACCAAGGGCCCCGTATATGGTCTCCTTAGCCCCATCAGGAGTGATCCCTGAGCACAGAGCCAGGAATAAGCGCTGAGCACCAGGTTACACCAGGTGTGATTCCCCCCCCCCCAAAAAAAGGAATTTGTGCATAATCTCATATCTGAGTCTTATTTCAGTTTTTCCAAGGTAAGTGTAGAAATGCAGACCCAGTATAAACATTTAGAAGATGCGAGAAAAAGGGGCGGGATGTCTGTAAAGAACCACTTTAAACATTTTCAGATTTTTATTCTAAATACCTATGTTCAACTTGGTTAATAAACCTATAGTTTTACATCCCATTTTTGCTCACAAATTATAGCTATTTCCTTATATTAGTTTTTTTGTGAAAATGAACTATTACAGTAGGTAGTAGTACTTTTCCAGGAACAAAGGGACAAGACGTAACTATCGACTTTATCACTTTTAACTATTTGTTTCTACTTTTTATTACCATGAACAGATATTGTTCTTTTTTATTTTATTTTTTTTGAACTGATATTGTTTTTAAAAAATACTGTGAGTTAGGCTGGAGTATTTATATTTCTCCACAAAGTGCTGTGTGGCACATACAGATATTGATGAATATGGGTTTACCTAAGAGTCTGGAAGGGGAAAAAGAAGAAAGTGATGATGGTCACCTGGGGAAAGATCCTCGGAGACCTGGACTGGCAGAGTGGATACTTGCTTTCTTCTGCAGTCCTTGCACAAGTTGGTGTTTTAACCAGAGAGAGAAAGGAGAGAGAGAGAGAGAGAAAGAGAGAGAGAGAGAGAGAGAGAGAGGAGAGAAAGACAGAGGGAGGAGAGAGAGGAGACAAAGTAAGAGAGGAGAGAGAGAGAGAGAGGGCAAGAGAGAGAGGATTATAATTTTAATTGCAAAGAGACTTTGTTGTCCTTGTCATAGTCACTCGCGTTCCCTGCTGTGCCTCAGTGCACCCTGTTATCACTCCCAGGTCATCTACTGTGGCACATGTACACCACAGACAGTTGCACAGTTGAACCATTGCGCACTGCATGGCGTGAGAAATAAAGGTGTTGATATAGGAGACCGCCTTGCATCCGGGCCCCTTGGGTGAGGATATATCCTCAGCAGTTCCATTTTGGAGGCGAAGCTGATGGGATAAGGGAGTAGAGATGACTGTCCAGTTCCGTGGGTCGTGGGGGCCGGGCCTTTTCCAGGTTCCACCTAGAAACCAAGAAATCCATTTCCGCCTTCACCATGGCCAGCCCCATGGCCCTGAGAGGTAGGCGTCTGCTCAACAGAGAAGGGAAGCTAGAACAGCTCACGTCAGAGCGGAGTCCCAGCTCCTGCCCTGTGTGGCATGTCAGGCCATGCCAGTGCCACAGCCACCCTTCACACACAGCAGGTATGCTCCTTTGTCCTACAGGTGGTTCTGTGGGTCCCATTGATCCTCCCGGGCAATTTCCAGAGTGAACTTAGTGTCTCTAGAGTGATGTGTGCCTCATGCCTGTTGCTCAAGCGGTGACCGTTCCCTCAGCTTCTCTAAGGGGAACAGCCTCGAGAGTCTATCGGGGGCTCGTCTTTCTGCTGTGCTCCCCCCTTCAGTGCTGCCTTGCTCGTGAAGGACGTGGCCGTCTCTAGACCCTCTGCCCTGCCCGGGACCTGCTGCCTGTGTGCAGGGCAGGACGCGCAGACCCTGAGCTCTGGGTGTCCGTGTGTTGTGTCTCAAAACAAACTAGAGTGGAACATCTCTTCAGCCTGCTGCAAGGAAAGCACTTGATGTGGAATTGCACTCTCCAGATTTATTTGTACTTTATGTCAGAAAAATCAGCTTTGACTTTATCTCCTAAGTGCTTTTTTGAAAAAAAAAATTTAGTTAAGAAACCATGATTTATGAAGTTATTTATAGTTGAGTTTTTGTCGTGCTGTGTTCCACCACCAGTGTCAACTTCCCTCCACCAATGTCCCGAGGGTCCCTCCACCCCCCAGCCTGCCTCCTCGACAGGCACATCGTTGAGTTTGGTGGTTGTGGTTTGGTTCTTCTGCTTTCATGGTCCAGGCACTGGTTAAACCACATAGACACAACAGCAGATACTGACTTGCCCTTAGTAGCTCATTCAGTGTCTGAGAGGATGCATCCTCGGATGCAGACCAAGGCTCAGAAGTCACTGTGAGTTGATTTCTAGAGGCATTTTGGAATCCCTTGTTTGATTTTTTTTTTCCTTTCTGCAAAATCAGGGTCAGCACCAGACCATCCTGTGTGTGCTGCATTGCCTTGCCAGCTTGCGGACGCTCCCAGTGGATGTGGAGGAAGCTGTCTTGGCCCACAGCATCAAGGCTTTCACCAAGGTGGGTATGCAACCTCCCCAACACACACCACAGGCAGTGACTCTCTACGAATCCACAGCTCACACATCAGCAACCCTCTCCCCAAAACTTCAGCCGACTTTCCCCCGGGGAGAAGGATGCTTGACCACTCTTGAAAGCAGAACTGTCCCCAAATATCAGTTTCCTAACAGTGGTTTGAGAAAAAAGCTACACTGTGGGTTTTTTCAAGGAGAACGTTAGAACAAAGAGCTCTTGTATGGGAACAATTGGGTGCTGAGAAAGTATTTTTAAATCCTGAGCCTAGTAGGAATCAGAGTTTTTTCTGGTTGAGCCAATTCTACCTGGGGTCTGAACAAGAAACCATCTGTTGAGAATTCAGTAACCAGGATTGGAAATTCAGTGCCATGTCCTGGTTGGCAAATCCTTAGCAGAGAGGTTCTGTTTTCTGTTTTGTTTTCTTTGTCTTTTTTTTTTCTTTTTGTGTCACTCCTGGCAATGCACAGTGGTTATTCCTGGCTCATGCAGTCAGGAATCACTCCTGGCGTTGCTCGGGGAACTATATGGGATGTTGGGAATCAAACCCAGGTCAGCCCCATGCAAGGCAAACGCCCTATCCGCTGTGCTATCACTCTAGCCCCTCTTTGTCTTTTTAAGTTTCCCTCCTTGTCTTGAATCAGCCCATCCTGGTCCAAGAACGAAGCAAGATTCATGCTAAGAGAAAAAGGTTCCCTCACCCCTTCAACTAATGTGTTGGTTTCTATCCTAAATGGCATCAACACATCATTAAACAAAGAACCCAACTTTTGAGAGGTACCAGTGTCAGTATGAACCTTACTAATCATCGTCGTAGTTGGTGTTTGTACATACTCACCAGCCTCCTCCTCTCCACCTTCTGAAGTGAGGTATCATTTGTGGCTGCTCAGTCCCTTCTTGAGACCTTCCAGAGTCAGTAGCTCAAACCTGGATCACATGAGCTTTTTGAATGTCTATATTAGACTTTCCCAGAGAAGAGACCTGCTGTGTGGTGTGGGCTGTGGTTTTGTGTCTAGCAAAATAAACTATTTAAACGATTATTTGTTAAATTTTTGCAGGGCCAGCAGCGCACCTCACCTTGAAGGTGTGAGGTCCTTGGTTCGAAACCTAGCACTGCAAAAAAAATTTTTTTCCAAATGGAATAAAGAATACAATCATTAAGATAAAATGACATTTTTGCATTTAACTGGAAAAAAAATTCCTTATTGGTCTCTCTCTGAAAGCGGTAGGAATTCTTTACAACTTCTGTTGGCCTTTTGGGAGGACACTAATGAGAAGCTAAATATACTAGTTGCTCCAAATTTATTAAAATGTCAGGACACCATTCTGGGGACTCTCCCTGGGGCACAGCATGCAAGCTGGCAGCCCCTGATCTGGATTGGACGCGCTCTCCAGCAGCCTCAGCAGAGTCTGTTTCTTGTGGAAGAAACATCATGGTCAAACCTTGGCAGGCTTGCTTGCAGCCCCTTCGTCAAGCATTGGGACCACCTCAGCCTGGGCGTTCCTCAGCTCTGCGGCAAACACATTGTCTGTGCAGCCCCCTCCACAATACCCTCCTCTCACCCAGAGGAACCCAGTTAGGAGGCACGTACAGCCTTGAGCTGTCTCACCCAGCAGTGCCCGTGAGGCTAGGCGGTGAGCTAGGCAACGAGCGTTCTGTTCGTGTTTGCAAGTGGGGGGAGCGGAGGCAGGGCAAGGTTGAGCCTTCCCTCCTGGCCTTCCCAGGAAAATGATTCCTCCTCCCAGTGTCCACGCATTTCACTGGGGGAGGGGACTGGGCTAGAAGCCTGCATCTCTGCCCAGGTCACACCTAATCCTGTGTTAAGTAAACAGTCTCAAGGTGATTACCTGGTGCCTTCCCTCTGCAGCCAGAGTAATACCTGGTGCTTTCCCCCTATAATGAATTACTTTCCTTTTTTATTTTCCTTTTTGGGTCATACTCAGTGATACACAGGGGTTACTCCTGGCTCAAGCACTCAGGAATTACTCCTGGCGGTGCTCAGGGAACCATATGGGATACTGGGAATCGAACCCAGGTTGGCCGCTTGCAGGGCAAACTCCCTACCCGCTGTGCTATCACTCCAGCCTCTAATGAGTTACTTTCACTGAGGGTTTCATGTGTATCAAACATGTAGGAGTTCTACTGAGTAGTAATATGCTATTTTTCAGACAGGTTTCACGGAGGCTGGTGCCCACTTCTTGCTCAGGGCACCCTCAGACTCACAGTGAAGCCTCAGAGCAGAGTAGGCATTCCCTGGCTCCCTCAGAGGCCTTTCCTTGACTGTCAGTGATGAGTCTCAGTTAAACCATCACTCTCAATTTGACACTCTTCATGATGGGGCATGTGACTTTGCTTCATGTCTAGGTGCTGCGTTGGCTTGTTGCTGTTGTTTTAATTTCCTTCTTGGGCCAGAGAGATAATACAGCGGGTGAGGCTCTTGCCTTGCACATAGCCAGCCAGTTTCCATCACTGGCATCCCGTATGGTCCCCTGAACTCGCCAGTTGGGCAGAGCCAGGAGTAACCCCTGAACTTTGCCAGGTGTGGCCCAAAAACAAAGAATTAAAATTTTCTTCTTAATGCTCAGGTGGACATGATAGATAGTTCCCATACAGCCTCAATTAAGAAAAAAATGTGTGAAATGCATTTTGTGTTTTTAAATTTTAGTTTTGGGTTTGTTTCTAAGACCTCGTTTCCCTCCCCCCCCCCCACCCTCCTGCTTTCCTCCCAACATTGAGACTAATTAAAATTCACATTCATGTGCCCTGAATATGACTTTTCTTTGTCGTCAGGTTAATTTGGATTCTGAAAATGGACCGGTAGTTTATAACACCCTGAAGAAAATATTTAAGCACACACTGGAAGAAAAAAGGAAACTGACAAAAGACAGCCCCGTGCCTGCCACTTAATGCTGTCGCCTCGAATATTTCACCCTAAAGGTCAGGCAGCACTTCTGCCCAGCGGTCAGCAAGTCTGGGGCAACTGTATCATGCAGCACTTTATTTCAGATACTCTCCGTTTGTGCGAAGAATGCTCATTCCTCTCTGTAGCCATTATTTATTGGAATAATCTCTTTGAGCTTTCTTTTCGTTGAAATTGCCCATTAAGTGGGTACCACTTTTCTTCACTTAACTGAATTAATGTAGTAACCGCTGTATGACTATTTCAAGTATGTGGCATTTTACATCACTATTCTTTGACATTTTGGGAAAAGTTGTAACTCTTCTTTCCAAAACAGCTGTTCTGTTGACCAAAACTCTTCCTTAAGAGTTTTTACCAGAATAGATCGTTTTAGTAGTCAAACCTAATTGTGTATCCATCCCCTGATCCAGGACCTATGGAAGCCACCAAGTGTCTTAAACTATTTTATATTTCTTATTTGGAAACCTCTTGGTTCATTTGAAAAGGAATTTGGGGGTGGGGATAGTTGTCGTTTTTATAAACGTTGCAAAGCTCTCCCAAGTGTATTATTTTAAGGAGTGATTTCCATTTGTATTCCAGGATCCTGTGGGAGGTGGTTGGGTTGGCTTTACGGCGGAAGGGAACGTGCCCGCGTGGGGCTAACTGGGGCTAACGGCTTCTGCACGCTGCCTCCGTGGGGGTGGAGACATTCTCAGCGCGTCAGGCCTCTCCCACTCCCGAGCTGCCGGCTTCCTTCCAGCGGAAGAGGGAGCTTGCAGAGCAGCGTGGGAGGCTGCCGGAGGCGATGCCGCGGGGAGGACTGGCTGTGGGCAGCCCACAGCTGCCGCCAGAGGCAGCTCTGCCCACCCAGCCAGCGCCAGAGACAGGCCTGACTCACACCTTCCACTGCCACCAACCCCTGCAACCAGTGGGCTCAGGGTTCTGTTTTGAGGGCTACTTTTTTCCTGTGTAAGTTCACGCTTTTGAGTTGAGTCTGATCATGCAGGTTGCATGCACTTGACTGGCTTTAGGTGAGAAGGAATTGCCTTTAGGAGTTCGTGGGAGACCAAGCTGTCAATCAGCATTTAAAGCCATAAAGACTCTTTAAATCAATTTGTACAGGGACTGAGGAGAGACATCACAGAAAAGGTAATAGTTTTATCGCAGAAAATAATGTTTCTCAATAAAAATTATATCAAACTAGTAAAAAAGTTCAAACTTTTAAAATAAAGGACTGCTTAATCTTAGTGACAGACTTTCAGGGTAAACAAGACAAATTTATAACAGAATTTCTCACATTTCTGAATCCAGCTCTAGCACATCAAAATTAGTCCTCATCATTCTTAATTTGTTGGAAAATGCCAAATGCTGTTTTCTCCCACACTGGATTTTCTTAGGAAGTCAAATCCAATGAATTTTAATGAACTGCATTGCCCATTGTAAAAAAATTTTTTCAAGTGCCTCTTCTGCGAGAAAAGAAAGAACTTTTATTCGTAGGTACATTGCCTCGCTAGGTATCTGTACTGACATCCATGTGTGTGAAAATACACTTTGCAAGAAAAAAAGATGTCTGCCCTCATCTTAGCCAGTCTCCCCTGGGCAGGTGATGCCACAGCTCATTGGTTGAGTGGCTGTTGGCCTGTTAGTCTAAACCGGTGGTTTCCCGTGAGATAAGAGCTGTATGGCTGAACACAACTCTTGTGGTGCTCATCGAATGTCCCAGGTATAAACTACCCAAAGAAGAGAAATGGTGAGGAAAAAAGGACGCCAGCAGTATGTGAGTATTGTGTGTGTTAGAAAAATGAGAATAAGCTCTATTCCTCATCTCATTCTTTGCCTGATGCTCTGGAAGCCGTGTGTGTGTGTGTGTGTGTCCTCTGAGGAAACCTGTTCTTATGATTAATCTCCTGACACACACTGAGTTGCAAGGCAGTGCCAGCTCATTCTGGCCAGTCCCATCCATGGATCAGAATGACCAGAGAGGGCACCAGATGGAGAGACTTCAGAGCCATGAGGGAGGGTGCCCTGGCTGCTGGGGTGGCTCCTGCTTTGAGATAACTGAGTGGGTAAATGCTTCTGTGTCCAGAGGAAAGGAATCTGCCCAGCAGAAAAAGTGACAGAATTGCAACATTCCACTGGGCAGAGGTGGGAAGGGTCAGGAGCACATGCAGTAGAATTCAGCAACCCACCATACTCTGCCTCCTACATCTTTCAGCAGAGAATTCAACACCAACCACACGCTGCCTTCTCTCACCAGGCAGAAGAGGTTTGTCACATGGCTCAACCTAAGTGGTTCTTCTAAAAGGTAAAAGAAAATGATAAAGTTATTCACTAAATCAAATCAGGTATTTTTGCAGATGGCATGTAGTCATGCAGTCATGTAAATGAGAACCTGTTCCCCAAACTTCTTCCCCAGATGGGTAAATGAGTGAAACATTCTTTTTAACCAAGAAAGCCAGGAAGCCAGGGCCAAGCAGCGTAAGGTGGTGAATTATAGTGGATCAGCAGGCACCTTTCCTTACAAAATAGGCTTCAGAAGGTAAAAGTCCTCTTGAGACATTATTTCCGGTAGTTGGAATTTGTGATGGGTGGCAGGATGAAGACTCACCACAGGCCACTACTGAATGATTCCATTGTGACTACTTGTAAATCAGTTTTATTGTGTCAGGCTGACCCAAGATCAGTCCATGCCTAAAAGCATAATTAAAAAATAATGCACCACTGCACAACAGCATTTGTTGAGTTTTTCTCCTGCCTCTCTATTCCTAAACAATGTTCAACAATCTAGAATCAAGAAGACTCATTTATTTATTTTTGGTTTGAGGCACATACCTGACAATGCTCAGTGGTTATATCTGGCTCTTCACCCGGGAATCACTTCTGACAGTGTGGGGGGACCATAGAGGGTGCTGGATATCACACCTGAATCAGCTGTATGCAAGGCAAGTGTACTATCTGTACCTGCTGTACTATCATGATAGCCCCAAGAAAACTCTTTTAGAATCTGAACCACATTCATGAAAAATAGTATCAAGGAATGGCCTTCTTGATTCACTCACACTGAAAATGTATTAGTGCTTAGTAATTTGGAATAGAGCCAGCCAATGAGGAAGCCAATTAATCATTATTAATCCCAAATTTGGGGCCCTCCAAAGTATCAAAAACTTGGAGCATGCATTCTATTAAATGCAATCAATAAAAAAAGTGTTCACCCAATGAATCTGACACCTATTTTAATGCCTGGCACATGGAGGGGAATCAATGCATGGAGATCAGAGAAGGGACAGAGGAAGAAGAAATGGGAGAGAAATCATTCTCCCTGCTCAAACCCAGTGCAAGCTTTAGTTCTGGCTGAAGTGGAAGAGCACCTCCTTGCAGGTCATTTTATAACCAAATCACTTTGGAAAGAGCAGCAAAACCCAAGCCAAGAAAGTGAGCAGGAGAAGCACACAGGTTCAGAATCTGAGGAGCATTGGAAGCCCCCTGAGCTCCCTTCTGCCTCCCCACACACATCCCCAGGTTCCAGACTCTGCTGCTGGCACTGCCAACCCAGGATTCCTCAAGGAGGCAGGGAACGGGGAGTCTTCCCACAGAAGGCCCTCGAACAGCACCTGCTCCAGCCAGATACCTGTGGCCATTAACAGTGCTGGTGCCTCCCCCTTCTAGACCCCCATGGAAGCAGGAGGGGACACATCCCACCATGCCCACCCAACAGAAGCCTGGGCAGGGGGAATTCAGTATCCAAGTGAGCCCCAGTCACATTGGAAGCAGCCACAAGACAAGGCAGTGAAGGTGAAATGTCGGGAGAGGAGCCTGCCCCGGTCCAGGGCTGTCAGTGCTCTATTTGCCCCTCTGGCGTCCACCTATCTCTGATGTGACTCCACTCAGTCCACAGGCAGGGCTCTGTTTCCCTCACTGTGAGGGGTCAACAAAGCATGAAGGATGCACATCCAGCAGGCAGCCTGTTACCTCTGCACCCTCTTTCCTGGTGAGAGCAGGTCACCTGGGCAGCTGCACTCACTCCATCATGACAATGCCAGGCTGCAGGGGCAAGATTAAGAACTCACCCCTTCCTCCTCCCCACCCCCAGCCATCTGCAAGGCCAATGAGTCACTGCCAGGCGGGGCAGGCCCAGCGGCTGCTGAACAGATCCACCCACCTCAGCATGTGATTCTAGAACCCCCAAAAGGAAGCAAGAATGTGCTACAAGAGGATGCTTGGAGTTGCAGAAAGAAGAGGAAAACAAAGAAGTTGGCGTCGTAGACTGTTTATAATGTAAAAATCATATTTAATGACTTAAGCAAAAAATGATAGCATCTGATGTGTATGAGTATAGAGGAAATGTCTAGAATGTGGTGTATATATGGGCTCAGAGGAAGTAATGTTTTATTGAAAGTAGTCACTGTCACTGTCCTCCTGTTGTTCATCGATTTGCTGGAGCAGGCCCAATAACGTCTCCATCGTGAGACTTGTCGTTACTGTGTTTGGCATATTGAATATGTCACGGGAAGCTTGCTGGGCTCTCTGAGAGGGGCGGAAGAATCGAACCAGGCTCGGCCGGGCTGGCTGCGCGCAAGGCAAACACCCTACCGCTGTGCTATTGCTCCAGCCCCATTGAAAGTAGTAAAAGTTAAAATATAAATAAAAATCTTTTATTGAAAGTAGTAGTAAAACATAGAAAGTATCATGCTAAGCAAAATGAGTCAGAAAGAAAGGGACAGACATAGAAAGATTGCATTCCTCTGGGGAACATAAAGTAACAAAATAGGAGACCAACACCCAAGAATAGCCTTGATAAGTACCAGGAGGTTTACTCCATGGCTTGGAGGCCAGCCGCACACGCTAGGGGGAAAGGCAGCTCAGATAGAGAAAGGAGCACCAAATAAAGGGTCTTGGGAGGTTCCTCTCAGGATGGGAGATGCGTAATGAGAGTAGACTATAGACTGAACATGATTGCCGCTCAATGTCTCTTTTGCAAACCACAGCATTCAAAAGGAGAGAGATAACAAAAAGGAATGCCCTGCCACAGAGGCAGGGTGGGATGGGTGGGATGGGGGGTGGGAGGGATACTGGGATCAGAGGTGGTGGAGAATGGGCACTGGTGGAGGGATGGGTATTCGATCATTGTATAACTGAAACCCAAGCACAAAAATTTGTGTTTCATAATAAAAATTTAAGGAAAAAAATAAAAGAAAAAAGTAGTAGTAAAAAGTCTATTGATATGATATCAGTTTCTCTTTTTTGGTTGTTTTTGTC